TTTTCATATATATATATATATATATGAAATATATATATATTTAGGGCCTCTTTTCCAGGCCTCCTACATGTTTAGGAACCCAAGCACTTGGGCCATCTTGCAGGTTTTCCAGGTACATTACTAGGGAGCTGGATCAGAAGGGAACTAGCCAGGACACAAACCAAGATGCAAATGGGATACTGGGGTCTCAGAAATCAAGTTTCTCTGCTCATCTACCACCAACTTAAAGCTTTTCATTTATATGCTTTTTCTGTTGATTAATACACTGAGTAATTTTAATATTTACTAAGTGATAGTTATTGGTTGCTATCTTATCATAACTACTTTCCTAAAATAGTTATTGCCAACCATGAGGGTTCTTCAAGGTCATATATATAAATTTTATGAAACAAATATGCCTAGATTTAAAAACTTCTTGGGAACCAAAATTAACTCATTAACTTATAACATCTCTGAATAGTATCTACTTCAAGGCACAAAGAAAAGTAAGACAGTCATTTGAAAAGAGAACCTATGATCAGGACAAGAAGTTTGGCAATCTTGAAGCAAAAGTAAACATTCCAGTTAGGAAGAAGCTTGGCTGAAAGAATGGTGAAATCATTGATGGCTTACAAAAGGTTTTTGAGGACAAAATTGTCCCAACAAAATTTACAAATGGACTCTGCAAGTTGTTTTTTTTTTTAGAAGTTATGTCATTTGAAAGGCAGAGAGAAAAGGAAAGAGGGAAAGACTGTTGCATCCACTGATTTAACTCCTCAAATGACTGTAACCACCCGATCTGGGTCAGGCCACATGGGCACCGTTAGAGCCTCCCAGGTGGGTGACAAAGGCCCAGACACTTGGGCCACCTGCAGCTGCCTTCCCAAGCACATTAGCAGGAGCTGAATCAGAAGCAAAGCAGTGGGAACGCAAACTGGTAGGTTCTTTAATCACTGTGCCACAATGCAAGTGATTCGTTTTGGGAAGGGATGAAATGTTGGAGATGAAGCCTCTAGTGGCAGATTGTCCTCGTCCATTTGAGGAAGAAGCTAATCCTTTTCATGCTGTTATTAGATGGAACCAAAGAGTAGCAGCAGAAACAGCCAATACAGTTGGTGAACTTAGACATAACCCTGACTGAAAAAATTAAGAATAGCAAATTTTCTTTTCCAAAAAGATGTTTGGCCCTGCGCGATATCCTAGTGGCTATAATCCTTGCCTTGAATGTCCTGGAATCCCATAGGGCACTCTTTCATGTCCCGGATGCTCCACTTCCCATCCAACTCCCTGCCTGTGGCCTGCAGAAGCAGCCGAGGATGACCAAAAGCCTTGGAACCCTGTACCCGCATGGGAGACCAGGAAGAAGCTCCTGGCATCTGATTGGCTCAGCTCCAGCCATTGTGGCCACTTGGGGAGTGAATCAGTGAGTGAAAGATCTTTCTCTATGTATCTCTGCCTTTACAATATAAATAAGTAAATCTAAGAAAAAAAAAAGAAATAGCTGTTCTACCCACCTCATTCATGAGAAAATTTAAACAGGCTGAAGATTTTAAAGTGCATTCTCAAAAAAATGTAACAAAAGTGAAACATGTTCTTACCAGACAAAGTACGGTACAAACAATGGCTGTGATGAGGTGGAACTGGTCCAGTCATAACAAAAGTGAAGGAATCAGCAAAGATTGTGATTGGGATGCTGAAAGCATCTTGCACATTCATGCTCTGGAATGACAGAGAGCAGTAACATCCTTTGAATGAGAGACTTCTGAGAAAGTCAGATATACAGAAAGGAGAGACAGAGAGGAAGATCTTTCATTTCCATGTGGCCATAACTGCCAGAGCTGAACCAGTCCAAAGCCAGGAGCCTCTTCCAGGTCTCCCACACAGGTGCAGGGTCTCAAGGCTTTGGTCTGTCCTCAACGACCTTCCCAGATGACAAGCAGGAAGCTGGATGGGAAGCAGGGCTGCCAGAATTAGGACCAACACCCATATGATATCCCAGTGTGTGCAAGGTGAAGACTTTATAAATGTGGGACCAGCGTGGTATCCTAGGGACTCAACGTTTTGATGTACAATCATTCGTTATCTACTACACGGTCCTAATTTGGCTGCTTCTGACGTTTTTGTTTTCTAACTCCCCCACCCCCAAAAAACACTTTGAATGTACCCATTAATGTAAAAATGATGACATGACTTGGTTAAATTCTAAGGCCTCCTAGCCATTTAAGGGTTGACCGTGAGATGGTATTATTACTTGTAAAAATTTCTTGAACTGGCTAGAGCTAGTATTGATAGTTTCTGTTGTCCAGTTTTTTAATCAAACCCTCTCAGGCTAAATCATCCTTCCCAGCCTCTTAGATATTTTAAAACATGTATCATTTTTTATAGTCTTAAGTCTTTTTCCTGGTTTTCATTTTTCCAGATGATTTAGTAATAGACTCTACTGCTCCTGTAAAAAATTTTCAAAAGTTGCTTTTCTTATATTTTCCCTATAAGTGGCTTCTGCAAATGTTTTCATAGGAATACATGATTCCTCCTTGGCTAACTCATGCTAAAATATAGAATGAGATGGGTATGAAAAGCATTACCCTTCAGTTTACTCTGAGAATTCCTTTAAAATGTATGTTTCTCTTATTTGCCTTTCTCATATTTGTAGATACCTGCAGTATTAGTTTTCTTTATGTCCATACCCATGGGGAGAGTTTCAACTGTTCTAGAATCTCAGTGGTGAATATGAAGTCTTTAAGAGCTCAGCTAATGCCAAACCAACACAGCCTTGGAAAAAAGAATACTTCAGCAAATTAGGGTTTTCCCCTAAGTGACCAAGATACCTGATTGAACCTAACAAGCTTAAAGCAGTTCTGCTGGATCCATTTTTAAATCAGTTATGTTTGGACTATCACTGTGGTCTATATCCTCCTGAGAGCATATTGGATATCATCCTGAGAGCCTAGTGCCCAATTTTAAAATGGGATAGGCTTCCATTTACTTTGCATCTTGAAAATTCCAAAGTATCCAGCTGATAGAGGTCTAAGTAGACAGTAACTTCAACACATGAGCTATGCAGATGAGAAATGCATGCTAAACTCCTAGCAAGCGTAGTGAGATGCTCATTTTGCATGATAACCTAATCTGAGAAGCCCTATGGCCTAGATCTACAGGGTATTTTTAGATGCCTTTATGACTACCATTTATCCAGAAGTAACTGCTAAAATATCAGGGGGAAAAAGAAAAAAGTGAGATTGCAATGTTTTTCAATGTTTATATTAAATCAAGCTCTTTAATATCTTATTAGTTTTCTTCTGTTACTGATGCTTAGTACACTGTTATCGTGGTGTAGGCCCACAGATTCAGACTGAAGTTACTGCTAACTTCAGCACCATTTCCTGATGCTCAACATCTCTACTCTTCCCCTTCCGCAACAAGTATAGAAAAAGCACTATATTCACTTCATGCAGCGTGAGGTCCCTTACTAAACTACATTTACCAAACGTTCTTCTGAGTGTGTCATGATACAGCATACCTTGCCCCTCACTGACTGGCATAGTTGGTTTACGTTACAGAAAAAAAAAAAAAAGAAAAAAAACTTGACAATTTTTCTTTGAAATGTGATGCTAATCTTCAATCCCAAATCACATGTACTGTCCCTACCCTGAATCTGAACAATATATTTCTTCAGTTAGTAAACTGACTTACCTGCGTTTCTTTAAGGTTGTTATTTCTTCCTGAGTCAACTGATAAGAGGCTTCCTTTTTTCTATGAACTGAACATACAGATGTGTTACTTGTTACGATGTATCACAGGCAACGACAATTCAAATGCAACCATCGACATTGGAGATAGTTTCTATTAAGTAAATTATTTTGCTGAAATATGTATGCAGAAGAGGTTACAGAAATCTTTCACTTCACTATTAGAGTTTTGAAAAGGACTCCATACATGCAATCAGTACCCATATCATGAAAGAGGACATAAAACAGCAATATTTTAACACTTTTCTCTGGGGTGAAGAAATATTTGATATGAATTCAATTGCTATAGAGCAATCTCCCTAAGCAATCAATTCCATTATCAAAACCAAAAAGGCTGTTAATGTCAGGTGATGATCAAATGTTGGAGATTTTAACAATTGTTTTAACTGTAGACTTTATTAAGCATATCCCTTTAAAATAGCATTGGTACTATATAGACATTTGCATGTTATGGCCAGGCAAACTGTTAAAGAGGCAATGTACATTTGGTCCAACTGCCACTGTTCTTTGTATGTCAAACTTCCAAGTGCTACAGCATACCTCAAAGGAGTGTTTCTTCTTTCTCGGTGTAGATGCAGTGTGAAACATGTCACTTTTGGACATTACAGCCTTTGGACTTTGATGCACTGAGATGTTCCACGTCACATGGTCCGAGGGAGGGATATTAATAGGAAGTTCTGGCTGGAAATTTCTTCCCTGTGATTGTTCTCCCTCAGCGGTTGATGGCTAAGTTAATTCTCCTTAGTTTTGTCATGCTCTAAAGCACACATGGCCAGGCTGTGGTAAGCTTTATAGGGGCAGTGTGTGTGTTGGGGGTCAGGGGGAAGCAGAAGCTATGGTGTCCATCAAAGTCTGAAAGTTGCATTTTTAAACTTTGCCTTGACCTGATGTGCCATTCAAAACAGCTTCAAAAGATCATTTTTTTTTTTGGAGAGGTTCAATATGTCCTGAGGCTATCGGTTTTGAGTTAAACTGGGTGAAGTAGAAATATTTTACTCATCAGCTTTGCAGTCACAGAGTTTGCCTCAGCTAGAACAAAACTGCTGAGGCATTTAGAGAAAATTAACCCCCCATCCTGGCGGCCAGATGTGACTGGTTTCTGATGAATGCACATGAGTGGGCTGAAAAATCAAGAGACTGTGAAATTCCTGTCAGGTCCGTACAGTGCAGAATGGGCTATTGACTGCCTTCTCTATTTCCCTCCATCATTCTTCTTGAACACTGCCATTAATTTCCTCTCCCACTCTGACTTGTGTCTCCCCCTCCCTCTAGCTCTGTATGCTGCAGAAGAGGATGCAGGGGCTGTGGCAGGAGCACATGAGACTGGTGGTCCTCTACAGCCAGAGGCGGCTGGCCAGCTTCCAGACTGACTCTCAGGAGACTATTCAGAAAATATTAGCTGTGCAGGTAGGTGACTGCAGGGAAGTAGGAAAGATCATTCGGATCTAGATTGAAAAGCAAATGATGGGTAGTGTGATGAAGCATTAAAACCATATCCCATCAGCGTTTTATAAATTTTTAACCTCTTTAATAAAGTAGAATTGCATGAAGGATGAATTCAATAAGTTAGCACGCACACCATGCAGACTTTGGAGGAAAAAGGAGATTCAACTGATTTCTCAGAAATCTCAATGAATTTTTAAAATGTCTTTGGTATATATATATGTGTGTGTATATATATATATATATATATATCATGCCAAATATAAATACCTATATGTATATATTTGGAAATATATTTAAAACATATACACAATTGGAAATTATACATCTCCAATCTGTAGGCTTGTTTGGGGCCATTCAAGCTATTCAAAGGTATTGACAAGACTTACCTGTGCCACCTTTGTGCAAAATCTTAAGTAATACTCTTAAATAGTCTGATACCTTCTCATTGCAACAGGATCAGCCTTGCACAATCAGATTTGGAGACATTATTTGAAAGTAAGCAAAGGGGATTAGGCTATAGTTGTGATCTTATGAGATTTTTACCTATAGGATAAATATTTTTATAGAAGAAATTATAAGCATTTAAGGATTACTGAACCACTAATGTCATAACTATATGAAGACTTATCAGTTTATTTCATTTTATAATAGTTGGAATATGAAGACATTATCTCCCAAAGAAAAATAAACTACTTTGTTCTATTAAAAAAAAGAAATATTAGCACGTGTTTGCTGAAGTTACAGTTTCCAGTAACTTGTAGCATAAATAGCAAATAAACCCCAAACCAGATCTTGTTGAAAATATTTAAGCTGGCCTGCATTTTTCAAGTAGAAAAAAAATTTACAAGGCAATTTCATAGCCAAAATATATATTTTTGATATGATGACATTAGTGAGTATAGCTGTGTTATGTTTTATTGGTAATGAATTATAAAAACATCCTAATAGGAAAATTTTGAAAAGGCATTAACTTGGGGGTTTAATAGAAATTCACAAATTTGAATGCAGACTAGAATTACTTTGTTATCTTTTAAATTAAGATTCTTCTGACATATAAACTAAACAGCACATTAAAAATTGTGAAATGTCCATAACCAGTAATTCATTGGAATAGTCAAAATATCTTCGTATTCTAGTTAGTGCCTTAGAAAACTTTCATTTCTATCCAAATGTAAATATTCATGTGTTAGTCAAATGAATTCTTAATGCATGACCTGCTATAATTTTTACTCTAATATTTTAAGCCCACAGCACATAAGCTTGATATGATTATAGCTGTCATACATAGTAAAAATCAAGGAAAGGATCATATATAGGAGGGATACTAAGTTACACAGCATTATAGACACCATCGTAAGTTTAGGTTATATTTGGGAAACTTGAGGAGCTTAATTACTGACTTAACTCCTGGAGATGCCTTTGATTTAAAAATTTTCAACTTTAGATTTTATCAAAATGTGAAAATTTTCAAGGTCTTGTTATCAAACCATCAAAATACAAGTGAATCTAAACTCTATATGAAACACCTTGACTTCTGTCTGACCTTACTGTCTCTCCAAGTTGTTCCTTCCTGTTGCAGTCACTCTAAAAGTTACGAATCATGAAACCTGTTGTTGAGCTCTTCTCCATACTGGGCTTACCTGCTTCCCTTCTTTCGAAATGACTTTTCCTTGCCTACTTGTTGAACACCTTAAACAATTCAGTCACACCCTGTACAAAATCTTTCCCAAGCTCCTCTGTTCACCTTCTGTGGCCAGATGAATTATCCACCTAAGACCACGGTGCCCCATACAGTTCACTTCTATCAGCTAGCTCTTCTGTTTTACACTTCTTCCTACAAGACTAAATTCCTCTGAGCTTGAAATGATCTCTGTTCACTTCTCCCTTGTTTGGGTGGGTGAGGGGAGAATTGGCAGGGAGGGGCAGCTGTGTAAAGCAGCATGACTGTTCAGAAGATCTGGCAGCACACTAAGTCTCTACTGCTTAGGAAACCATGGTGTATAGTCACTTGATATGTTGGCAGTCACTATGCAGGTGTCATGTACAAAACTGATTCAGCATGGGTAGATGTTATGCACCAGATCAAATGATATTGACCCCAACTTGGACGACTTGCCATAATTCCTTTAAGGAATCATGCTGAAAAGTCTGCACTTAGAATGAAACAATGCTGAAAAATCTAATGAGAATATTATTTGATGAACCTTTTGAAGAGGTAAGCTATATAATTGATGCTGAATCAAAACAGTTAAAACTAACTAAAGCAATGAATCACTTCACTTCACCTACAGAGATAAATTCTTTGCATGACCACAGAAAGCCATGATTAACAGATCTTTCACCGGCAGAAAACCAGGTAGATTGGATAAGGTTTTGAATTGAACAATCAAGCAGAAACTAATAAGATGAATCGTACCCAAACAGGGATACATTAGACTTTAAGTTGTTTATAGGTAAGATTTTTGTTTAAAGGTTTTAATTGACCTCAGTTTTAACATGAGCGAAAGTGAACTATTATAAACTTGGAACTGAAGTCATATCCCAACTCTACAATCGAGATTGAGTCTTACAAGCTTCTAGCATAATTAATGAGGCCCCGACTTCATGTCTGAGTCCATATGAAGTGCTATTATGTTTATCATGTGTATTTAATCTAGTTATGAATATCTTTTTAAAAAAAAACTGAGCGTTATTAAATCATTAAAATAAGGGTGTGATGATGGTAAGATTGTATGTGATTATAATTATAGGCAGCAGTGTTTTATACGCATTTGGGAAACACAGCTGAGGACCCCATCACTCTGGAGCACAGCAGCATAAAAACCATTGGATCTGCCAGAGAGGAAAACTCACTCACACTGTTTGAATGCAAAAGGAAAACTATGGGAGGACAGACATCTGAAAGACTGCCGGGGAGGTTCATGTACCTCACACCATTTGTTGGGCTATACCTTGCAGACACTGGGACCAAATGAGAGAAGTTGCAAGGTGAACTGTTTCAAAACATGGGTAAACTTTATAACGAGCATGGTTCTCCAACCATGCCTGTTGGTGCCCAAGCAAATATGAAATATCAGTCGTGTGTAGGGGCAAAAGCTAACACTAGTAGGGGGTAAAGCAAATGGCCCATAGTTCTCGGCAACATTTCAGAACCTCGTTTGTCCTAGAACGTTCCCATAACCACTTTGTATACACACCTGTGCCTGTGTTGACTTTGCTCATCCACTAGTACGTGAGCCTTCAATTCAGAAAGTAGGCATTAGATGTCGCTCTATCTCCCAGCACCAGCTACACTTGAAATTTGTTTAGCCAATAGAAAACTTACACACTGATGCTTATAGGGGCAGCCCAATTCTTTTTTCTAGACTAAGAATATGTTTTTTAAATGCCAGAAAAATGGGACAAAATCTAAATCACTTAGCAATGTAATAAAAATTTCTTAACTTACATGGTCCTTTGTAAAGACAAGAAATTATGGAAAACATGCATTTTTAACTTTTAACATATATGCAGTTAGATATGCTTGAGAAATAACATTAACTTACCAAACCTTAGTGCTAAAATCTAAATAGAAAATATATTTAAACATGGTTGCCAACAGTTTAAGTCTTACAGGAAATCTAAAAATGATTTGTCACTTCCAAGCTACTAAAGAAGAAACAGGTAACCATAAATATAATTCAAAATGCAAAAATACAGGAAGATAATTAAGCCACATAAAATATGGCAAAACAAATTCTTGAGCATAATAAATAAATGGTTTCAATTACATTTTAAATTTACCAATTTACAGGTTGCTTATAAAAACAAATTCATGTTATTTGCAAGAAATTTAGGCAAAGAGATTGTAAAGAGTGAAAAATAGGAAATTTTAAATATAAAAATGATTTCAAGGACAACAACATTTTTTTATTAGAGCATTCAAATCTGCATATTTAATGTTCAGAAGAGATCCAATGTATTGAGACTTACCATGAACTTAAATGTAGCTCCATTATCTTCAGAATTCTAAAGAAACATGGTAATATCTACTGACAAACAAGTAGAGCTAAGTTGCAATGGAAAATAATAGCATATCTTTAACTTTGTTAATAAATTAAGGGCATAATGTTTCAAAGCCTGTGCTTTTTGGTTCAGTGGTAAGGATGTTCAACTTCAGAAAGCACATTAATGTGAATAAATATAAACATGCATTAAAAGACAAAGGCTATATGCTTTTAACTGATATACGCTGGGAAACGTTTGCTAACAAGAACAATATACTAGCTATAAGTAGTTACAAAATAAAAGAAAGTTGCCTTCCTAAAGTATAATAGATAACTTGATAAATGAGATGTAGACAGTATGCATTAAAAGAGTGAAATCATCATCATTATGCTTTGAAAATATGGTGTTTCCTTTTAGAAAATCTAATGATACAGTGAGGAAGCATTAGAGTTCATGTAACAGCAATTTATAAGCAGCTGTCTATAGTATACAGTTCTTATGAATGCTGCTACTGAATAATACTGAAGACACACACTCTAAATAAGAGTATATATTTACCATTCTAGTAACATTATTATACAAGAGGATTATTGGGAAGATGCCAGTTTCAAGAAAGTGAAAAGAATTCATAGACTTTAAGTCAGATGTGGCTGAATTTAAGCAAGATATTCCAGAATTCAGGACAGTAATTTTTAAATGCATTTGCAAAATTAAAACCCACCATAGCACTTTATATAAAAAGAAATTTCATGTATTTGATAGATAAAATTCTAAGCACCTCCTGGCTTCCTTCCCTTTCTTTTAATTTTTGTAATGGTAATCACAAGGTTAACCTTCCCCTAAATAAAGAATTCAAGAAATATAAATGATTAGATTAAGGTGTCAATTTTTCTCTTCATACATTTTTATTCTTTATATTAGCTACTACCAACCAGAAATCATGTTTGTCTTTTGGGATCTTCTATAGCTTACTT